ACTAGAATTTTTATCCTTTTAACTTCCTTGTCATTTCGTAATTTAATTAAACATATTCTTAGCGTCATTAAAAAAGTATGTTCTCGTTCTCAATCTTCCAATTCATCTAAGTTCTAGATCAATATAGCCACGTATGAATACAGTTATATCAGGCAGCTAAGTGTAAAGGTGATGGGATGTCAATATAGTGACCATAATCTCGTTAAAAAATACATCATTTAGACTAGGCTTTTTTTAATTATACATCAGAAAGCAGTATTCTTGCGAAGTTATTACTGTCTTCAGAACCCATCAGAAATAACACAATAATTTCTAAACCAGAAGATTTGGACAGTGTTGATAAATTTATTCATTCTATTTATATCTTGAAATTGACATCGAATAAAATTCCAAAGAGTGTTGGTCGTCATATTCCAGATCATTCACTTGCGGAGAGATGTCTTAGTATATCTATGATTCAATCTTAAAATGTTAAACAATCCCAAATAATCAATTGAGGGTCGGGACGTGTAATTATTGTGCATCCTTTAAACGATCAACATCAACAAGAAGATATACGTATGTTTGCATTTACTAGTGTGACCTTTCATCTAAATGGTTTTTTATGTCTATTATTGGATACATAGCAAATAACATCTCTCATTATGTAGTAAAACTTAGAGTGACTCTGGTTTTGGTCCATCTGTAACAATAGCAGTTAATTAATTCAATGACGTACACTTGAAGAAAGCAAGTAAATCACTGGGATTAATGAACAGCAAAACAGGTGGATATAGAACTTTGAGGATCTGGACAGATCACCCTACTATACCCATCAGGTATCGAAGCAGCATCTACAGACCTTCCTTCAGTAGAAGCCCAACTTCGTGGTTGACAGTACAGATTTCGTAAGGATCGGTTATGGACATACCAAATTGCGACATTACGGATCATTGTGAAACAATCAAATGAGTGAAATTCGTCACTACAAATTAACTTCCTTGACCGTAAGAAGGCGTTCGACAGAGCATATAGGAGAACCCTACGGAAACTTCATCGACACTATGGTGTAGCTGAGATCTTTAAAATAATACGGATTTCATACCATTGAATACACTACAAGGTCATGTGTATAGAGCAGCTGACAGATATATTCCGAATGAAGACCGGTATCAAACAAGGATGATTACTCTCACTCCTTCTCTTTCTTCTGATAGTTAACTGGATTATGAAGACCTACACATTTCAGACGAAGCAAGGAATACAATGGACAACTTGGATGCAACTAGACGATCTGGACTCCTCAGATGACCTAGCTCTTCTATCCCATACACAGCAACAAATTCAGGTGAAGGCAGCCAGTATAGCAGCAGTGCGCCTCAATATACATAAGGGAAAAAACAAGATCCTGTAATACAATACAGTGAACATCAGTCAAATCAATCTTGATGGAGAAACTCAGAAAGAGGTGGAATGCTTTACGTACCTGGACAGCACCATCAATAAACAAGGAGAATCTGATAAAGATATAAAGGCATGGGTTGCTGAAGCAAGGGAAACATTCCCACAACTGAAGAACATACAGAGCTCAATACAACTGTTAGATAACATCAAAGTCAGAATCTACTATGCAAACGTCAAGACAGTTCTGCTGTACATCGCTGAAACTTGAAGAACAACCACAACCATCATCGAAATATACAGGTATTTATAAACAGTTATCTACGCAAGATACTACAGATCCGTTGGCCAGATACCGTCAGCAATAGCCTATTATGGGAGGGAACAAATCAACTTCCAGTTGAAGAAGAAATTAAGAAAGGATGCTGGAGGTGGATAGAATATACATTGAATGAATGATCAACCTGTATCATTAGGCAAGCCCTGAATTTGAATGCCGAAAAGAAAGGGAAAAGTGGCAGACCAAAGAGTACATTTCCTCAGGGATTGGAGCCAGACATCAAAGGAATGAGTAGCACTTGAAAACAACTGGAATGGATAGCCTATGACAGTTGGTTGGAGGATCCTGGTCGTAGGTCTATTCTGCCTTCCCATAAGCTTTTGGATGTCAGTTAATAGCCATTTCTCATCAATTTCTCATTCATTAGCTTGTCGTTTTACTTAATAATTTGGTTAATGTAAACAGGAATTGGAATCCACATTGATATTGTTAATTTATTGTAGCGTATTGTAATTATCAATCGTTTTCCTGAATCTAATAATGCTTTATGTACTTAGTATAATTACCAATTTTCAAAATTAGACTAATTCTTTCTGAACAACGATTTATTTTTAACAGTAACAGAGGGCTTAGTTATTAGTTGTGGAATCTCTGAAAAGTAGTGACCAGAGCAACATTAAACGGTAACTTGAAGTATTTATATCCATCAGGTTTAGTTACTTGTAAGTAGCATGAATTATTCAGATATATTTTGTGGGTAAAATGTAATCTAATTTTTTTGTTTCTTTCTATCCACTTAGCTAAAAGTGGTTTAAAAATGAGTTATTTTGAAGTAGATTCAGCAGTGATAGTCACCGTTTTATCAAATAACATAGTTCATGATATCAAAGCCATAAAACAGTATCATTCATTTGGGCTTTTTACATAAAGCTCTGAACTTGTTTTCGCTGAAACAATGTTTAGAAGTCATCCAACGGTTTATCAAGAACTTCTGTTTTGTTGTCAATTATTGCTACGAACTTGAAGAGTTATTCGGAATTGAAATCTGTAAGAAATCTAAATCTTAAGAATAGAATCTACCTGTTGTTCAAATACGCATCAATTGATCAGGGCTTGCCAATAGACAAAAACACTTAAATCTTTAATTATTACTTTACCCAAAATCTTTCATTCCATCTATACAATGCTGTACTGTCACAAGAATCAGAAGGGATGGTGAGGAACTATAATTTTTAGTTTATATCTGAGTACGGTCAGATCAACATGCAACAATAATCAAAACGAAGTATCACCTTATGTACATTTGATTATTTTTGAGCTTTTTGTTCTCCCCTGATTTATAATCTGGTTTATTAAATTTTATTCCATTTTTTCTAGTTTGTTATTCTTCTGCATTAGATTGATGGACATGAGGTTTATAATTATTTTGACAATATGCACCGTTTCTTTAGGTCAAAAGATACCACCACTCAGTTAATGATTCAATGAAATAAACTAGTTTTATCATATGCCTATAAATCAAATGGGTTATTCCTATAAGTCGGATGTTTAACAACTGGGGATTAACTGATATATCCTCAGTTATACTAAGTAACTGAATTAATTCACTGAATCAATTGAATCAACACATGTATATATATAAATATCTTCCACTGGCTTATTTGGATATACAATAATGTAAATAATAGTTTTAAAATCCAGAAAAATAACTGAACAAATTCCAGGCTATAAATTTGATTGTATTAAAATAATACATTACATCTAGTAGATATATATGATTTGGATGAAAGTTATTTCCTTCAATTAACCCCCACATAAAATATTGTCCAGTGTAATTATTGTTATTCTAAGCAAAGACAGATAGGGGCTAGCACTGGAACCCAGGACGCGCGTTTCGTCCTATTTGGGACTCGTCAGCTGGATGCAGCAGCATCCCCGTGTTGATGTCCACTCCGGGACTCGAATCCATTACCATCGCGTTATCCACTTAGCTAGTGAGTCCTGATAGCCACTTGCTTGTGCAGTGAGGTGAAGTTTAAATTCACTTGATATTATTTTACTTGTATCTTCCCAGAGTGAATATCAACTCTGTGATGCAGGTACATCCAGCTGACGAGTCCCAAATAGTATGAAACGTGCGTCCTGGATTCCACTACTAGCCACTATCCATCTTTGTTTAAAAAGCTTGTGACTTAAGGCTGTATCGAGGCAATCCGCACAGGATGCACATATGCCAACATGAGACTGATCAATTGCAGTCTCAAATAACAATGGGAAGATACAAGTAAAACAACACCAGGTGAATTTAATGCTATTTTAATTTATTTACTCGGATAAAAACCAAGCAGTTACTTAATAATCACCTAACAATAGCAGAACATTTTTCATGCATACTAAAAATATTGTTTACTGCAACGATACCTTATTTACTAGATATTGAATATCAAATAATGAAATTATCAACATTATATTTTCAGTAAACCAAAAGTAATCGTTATAGATTGGGTTCCTTTGATAGGTAAAGATTAAACATATGATTTGAAAGACAAATACTAGTCTCAAGATCTAGAAAACATGGAATGAAAGCAACGGTTTTTAAATTTTAGGAATATCACCTAAAATTTCCAACGAAAGATTATGATAGTCTCACAGGCTTTGACTAGGATGTTCTCAGTTCTTTATACCACTTAGATCAACGGTCAATAACTTAACAGACTGATAACACGTCTTAACCCGCATGTCGTCGGCTTTTTGCTATCCGACGTGGTACATCAGAATAGTCGAAGGATTGTAATACTTAACGTGTATCCCAACAACCTTGGTTAGTATTACTACTATGACGTAAGGCTTGTGATTGCCCCTTTTTAGTTACTCAAGTTAACAGGGATTCATCAAACCGATGCACTAAACCAAGATGCATGTCTGACGCCTGATTATAATTTTTAAGCTTAAAATATCTCTATTTATTGGTGATCTGGTGAGATATCTCAATGTTAAGTAAGTTTGAACCAATTTATAGCTGGCTGTAATACTTCTTTAAACAGTAAATAGTTGGGTATCTTCATGAGCTAAATAAGATCGCTTCAAAATAATTTTAGTTTTAATTCAATACAATTTTCTAGTTTTTATAACTCAATGGGTGCTTTTCATGTAATTGCACATTTAGGTACTTTTCTGAGTGTTTGGTTTTAACAAATGTTTTAAAGCTCTAACAAGACGGATTTTTAGTTGTGATTACTTTGATTATTCCGAAATACTGTAGTAAAATAAAGGCTAAAAGAGTTTTGAAGACACTGAATAAACTAATTCAACAAAGAACGATTTAGTCATTATTAGGCCCCGGAAATGTTTCACAAATAAACAAACTGCTAAATTTCTAATAGGATATAATCTCCTTTCTATGTTTATTTTATTACTCCATATCAAACTGAAGAGATCTGTTGATATTCATGACCATGAATACTGTGTATACTAACGAACTCTACTATCAAATATACTATGATGTATCAACGAAGTAGTTATAAGACATCAGGTTAATCAGAACAATTAAAACCAGGAATAAAAACTAAGACCATTTTCGTCTAGTCGATATGACTTGCATACCAGTACATGGATAAATATCTCATTTGTAACATACCCAATGAATGTAATCAATGTATGATACCTGAGTTATCTGCTTCTAGCCCGGAATCTTATGTCGGTCTCGTACTACTGAAAGCTACTTCTTTGTTTATTAACAAACCAGAATTTTATAGATGTACTGCTGTCCTGTAATGGTATGTCAGCATGCCATCAATCATTTATGAATTCACAAGGTGAAAAGCACCAGTCGATTTGATTGTGGCTTGGGAATTCTCTACTAGTGGTTAACTTATGAATAAAACAACAAAAAAAAAAATATAGGGGGTAATATGTGAACGAAAGGTGGATTGGTGGTTGTGAGTTATTTACTATTAGAGACATAAATATTTTAAGCCTGATAAATGAAAAGTATTTCACATTACATAGACATAGGTATACTATAGTTTGTTTCTACCGCTAACCACAAGATTTCCTTACTTCATCTCGTTGAAAATTCCTCTTTTTGTGTGTTAGCAGTTGACGTTTTTGCTGTGTGTTTTGATACAAAGATATAGGAAAACAGATTACGTAGCAGCTGATCAAATAGGATATTAGTACCATTGTTTATTGCTGACTTTCGATTTACCCTATTTTTCATTTTGAAGATCTACTTGTTTGAAACTAGACAAATCAGTTAGAATAACTCCCTAACTTACTAACATTAACTTCTAAGTTCAGAAATTGTATAACTCCTAAAGCTATTTAAATTCTACTTTCTTTGGGACGCATAATTAATGAGCAACAATGTTCTTCCAATAATTACATATTTATTGAAGTCTTTAGTCTAATCTTTGACGCTTGGACTCGTTGGTTCTTTGGCACCCTTACGACTGGGTACGATAGCTCTGCTTTAAAAACTGGTTACAAGTTTCTTTACTGATGTCTTGAGATATGTTAATATACTAATAAGTTATAGTTGATGAATAATAAGTTTTCTGTTATAACCTAAACTTTCATTCATCTACAAACAAATTCGATCGTAGACAGAACTATATCGGAGATTCTCTTAATGGGTAAGTAAGACTTAAGTGAACCTAAATGATCCAAGTATTATTAAATTAAGCTTTGAAATTTAGTTCAGCGAATGATCTATTTCTCTACTACTATATCGTTCACATCTCCACATAAGTATTCACTTTCCAAACAACCTTAATGCATCGTAAAACTTTGAAAACTCGTGTGACTGACTCGGGAAGTCAAAAACCAATGCTCTAGTTAAAGAATATGTTGCTGAGGTATCTAAATATATTAGGATATAGTTATTTAGTTTCTAGTTTAAGTAAATCTTACTTCCTACTAGTCACTTAGCCACATATTAAAAATCTAACGTCATCAAGTCTGTATTATTTCATGATGCATGAGAGATAAAATAACAGATAGATAGATACCTTTGCAACCAACACCTAGATAACTTTCTTAGTATTTTTACTAATCATTAAAGTTGTACTCTTAGCGATAGTGACAATCAGTGATACATTTGAGGCGAATATACAAACCATCTTGTTATCAACCAAATATAAAACCATAGCTACTTTATTTAAATTTACTGAGAAAACTAATTATAGTAACAGATTATTTTTACAGTGTCAAAGACAATAAGGACTCTGTTTTTATTCAAATATATAAAATCAAAACTTGGTAACAAGTAAATAATTAGTAATATTGAACTAAAGCTTAGTATTTCGTACGTATGAATTCTCAAATATTCGACAGGAATTTTTTTATAATTTGAATCTCTAATTAGAGAATAAACTCTGTAGCTATCATTCGATAATTGTACTAGTTTCTGAACTATCACCGTAATGTTATACTACGAATAATCTTTCTAGATATTTAAAATATGGAAAATAATAAATGAATATCAAAGTTTCTGTTATGAATACAGAATTTCATTTCATGGATAGACTGAATCAACATAATTTTCTACTTAAGCAAGTTAAATAAAGTTTACACGTAGATAAAATAATATAACGCATAAAATTATTTGGATAATTAAGTGAATGTAAATTGAAGATTAAATATCTACGTCTGTTCATTCATGATATGTTAACCAAAATGCGTACATTCTGTATTGCAGGAAATCTTAGAAGAGATGTCGGGATATCTACATCTTTCGTTGGAATGTCAACATTCACATTTCATTTGGTCTCTGTTGGGACTTGAAATTATAATGTGTCATACACCTTGAAATATTTTTAGCAACAATCTATTTCGAAATGCTCTTACACTAATTGCTATTTTACATGTATATATTTAATAAGCCTAGAGGTTAACAAGAATTGTCTATGTAAAATGCTATGGAAGTTTCATGTCTTAAACTTGTCTCTAGTGAAACTTACATCATATGGGTCCGTTTTCATAGTGAAATTGAGCTTAAATTACTAAATAAACATTCACTTTTTTATGAAACGTACTTCTTAAATACTTGCTGTCATTCTTATTGCATTAAAACCATTACTAGTAATTATTAGTTGTAATCATAACAGGACAATAGCTACCACACGTCTGGTTAATTGAGGTAAATTTTGATTATACTATTTCCTATCTGTCACTGATACAAACACACTCAAATGAAAGACAATTCATCTGAAGTACTTCCAATGCACTAGTGTATTAAAAGTAGTTTATCAAAATGGCAAAAACTCACGGATAAATAATAAAAGTCATTCTGAACAAACTGAAAATATCCATTACAGTGAAGCTTCATATGCCTAGATGTATCACCATATTTATTTGCTTCTGAACACTTTGTTTTATTTTCCTTTCTTCATCAGGATTTAACTGCTGTGGTATTATATGACTTATTCCTTTAGAGTTGATCAAAGAAGGAAAACTCAGAAAAGCGTCTTCTTGAATCCCATTCACATCTTTAACATACACTGAGACGGGATAAATGGTATGAAGATTGTGTATTATAGCATCACATATGGCACGACAAGCAAGTCCAATAGACCATGAATTACAGCCTTTTAATCGAATAAGTTCTTCTGTACTTTTGATTGTCGATTCATAAACCGATTTGAAATTTTCAGGATCACTTGAACATCCAATATGTACATTTTTTGTGACTAAACGTTCACCAGCAATATTCACGGTACTCCATAAAGGTACACTATTTTCACCAAGTTCTCCAATTATATAACCATTAACTGATGAGGCATCCACACTAAATTTCTGACCAAGAAGATAACGGAATCTTGCTGAGTCCAAAATTGTCCCAGTACCAAAAACTCGATGTTTCGGGAAACCACTGAGTTTGGCGGCTACATGTGTCATTATATCAACTGGATTTGTGACAATCAACAAAACACATTGAGGGCTATGATAAGTAATCTTAGGGATTATTTCCTGATAAAGTTTAACATTTTTTACTAATTGTTGTTCAGGATCTTCGTTTTTATCAGTCACACATGCTGTAACTACGATGATATCTGAATTTGTCGTCAATTTAAAGTCGGAACCACCAGTAATTTTACAATATCCGGAGAACAGCTGACCTTGCATCATATCCATGACTTCACCCTTTACCTTAAATTCATTGACATCAATTAGGGCAATTGCACCAGTCATATCGAGCAGCGAAAATGCAATCGATGTTCCAACTGCTCCACAACCAACAACTGATATTTTGCTGCGATTCTTATATTCAACCTCATCAGGAGCAACAGACCAAAATAATGAGGTCATCATGAGACCAGGAATAAGAGCAGACCGGAAGAAGTTTTGAAAGTATATTTGCGATACACAAGTACACCTTATCAGCTATTTTTGGCATGAAAAGAATCAACTGGTTAAATTATGTCTCGATTTAGGTTAGAATATCAGAATTGGCCAATAAATGATTATAATTGATTTTCAGCATCTAGGTCGTTTATCAAAAGCTGAAACGATATTGCATGTCATATACATATGTCTTATTTTCTTTCTCGAATTACCAACAAAACTAGCTAAATGACAGACAGACAAAACATGGTAAATCAAATAAGTCTAGGATAATGAAACAAAACGTGTACTTTATTCGCCAAATTTAAAGATATTTTGCCATAATGAAATGCGATTGGCGCAACAATATGACTTAAGTGCAAACTCTGATAGATAGAAATAACAAATTGAATGTTATTTTGAATCTGCATTATGAGCAACAATGGTATCATAAAAATGATCCAGTAAACAAATTGTTTCTCCACTATTAAAACATTTTCGAAACTACGTATAAATGTAAAACTCCCTTGAAACATGTAGATAGTGAAAAGTCTGAAACATCCTATGTATATGTGAATCACATCAGTACATCAGTTAAGGATTAAGGGAATAGATAAATGATGTAAAAAGTCACAGTTTAGTTTAATTAAAAAGTTAATACTTCAGTACAGTAACTTTTACCTGTAGACTCGTAGCTATTGGTGACGATTTGACTCATAATGAAGACAAGCGATGGACAAATTACGAATTAACTGCTATGAGAAAGAACATATACAACAATCCTTGTCACAATTCTCAGTGCATTGTATTAAGTTTAAACTTCGTAATACTCTGTGAATTTATGAATATAAATTTGTTGGCTGGATGAAAACTGATCGGTCTCGGATTAGCGATCACTGTTATGTTATCCGGTCCCTGTACCAGTCTACTTGTGACAATAAAATTGTTGTATTATTTGTACTTAACTGAAGTTTTACACTTGAAATATGTATTTAGTCTAATGTGCATTTGACTTTCACAACTATGATGTTTTCTACGCTCAACAACTTCTTAGCTGATTTACATTTTCTAGTTTATTGTCTGTGTTAAAAAATAGAATTTTTGTATATGTGTTTTATTCCTCTTATTTAAGACTTTATAATAACAGTGGATAAGAAGTATTAGGATATATTGATAATGTGAGGTGTTACAGATCAATATGCAACATGCGACATGGTGCGCTGTTCAGAGAGTTCAGTGTGGGGCAAGCGGTAATAGCAAGAGATTGCTATGGAGTAAAGCCAACTTGGAAGATTGGAACTATAATCGACAGCAAAGGGAAAGTTATTTATGAAGTAAAAGTCGGAGAAAAGATATGGGTGTGACATACAAACCAAATACGGCTGACCATACTTAACTGAAGTTACTTTACAATGTATATAACACTTAAACGTTGCACACTGTATCAATCCCATGAAGAAAAATACTGAAAATGTTTGTAGAGTTCGAAAAAGGCAACATGAATCAAGATTTTAAAAGTCATTCAGAAAGAAATCAAAGTTAACCTAATTTAACTGAATTTTAATATTGCAGCTGTTACTCTTGTCTCACACTTTCATTTAATATACTACTATGTTGTTAGATTATGACTCTGTTGAATGCATTTTCTGAGGTTCACTACTGACAAAATGTCAAGGGTTATCACCAGGATAAGTGACCCAACATAATGGAGTTTGATCAACAGTGAGCAGAAATGGTGTGACATGAGCCTACAGTAAATTGACCGTTAAACTTTAGTTTTTGTGGTTTTTGTAAGCCAGTTTATTCCATCAGTTGATGAAGGAGATGTAGTCATCAAACCAATGTGCACCCAACTTATAATATTAGGAGATGCAGTAATACCATATCAGTTTTTTATACCTGCAGTCATCCAGACATAAGATATACAAAATAAAGGGAAAATGAATAACTGGAAATACTGATTAGGTACTATTATAGGTTTATAAGTTGAACAGAAAATGATCCAAAGAGAACCTATTTTGTATACGTGAAAACAAAAATAATTATCTATACTAAAGTCACAAAGAAATGCGTTATCTATGACAACCTCGAAACATATTTATTTCAGATCAACGAATGTTAATGTTTATGCTTCTGGGACTTTATAATGGCGCTAATAAACTCACACTCATAGTTAAGGATCTTGTTTTTACAATAAATAACAAACGGGCTTGATTATCCATTTACTGATAATAAATTCTTGACTTACATTTATTGAACGAAAGTATTTCCTTAATATCTTATCACAACACTAGTAAGTCATATAATTAGGGGGAAATGAATAATTGTTTCATCGTGGAGATATTCAATTTTTTAATGAGATATATTAACAAATGAATAAAAATTGTTTTTAAAAAAGGGCTTTTTGAGAGTTCAACATCCCATACTCCGCACTTCCACCACATAAGATAAGATTGATTTCATTCTAGAATTAAGCAGCACATAAACTCTTAAGTACAATGTAACAAGTGGAAATATTTCTTTTCTCATGGTCCTTAAAATGTTTATGAGAACCGCTTTTCAAATTTTAGACCAAATGATAATTACGAAATATTGGCTTGATAGACGTTGCTGCTTGTCATGATTAAGTAGTATGATTAAATAAACGAAAATGTTATTTTGATCTTTCACAGACTTTTTCCAGTTTATTATTAACAGTTACAAAATATCATCTCGTGATTTTTATGTATTTTGAGGAATCTTCAAATTACACGAAAATATAATTTTCCTTCTTTTTATCTCTTTTCGGTCAATATTTACTGTTATGACGTTTGCCATGTTAGTTATCACGTGACAAAAGCGTCAATCCGAATACTGACTCATATGACCTTATTCTTGCGTTATACTAATAACACTTTAAAACAGCACTAGCAACCTTGTTTTAACTCTGAATCTTAACCGATCTTTTTTTAGCCTAGCCATACCCGTTGACTCAAGAGAGCAGTCTCAGCCTCCATTGTATGAATACTGTATTTCAGACATACGTCGTTTAAATACAAGCAAATCAGACCGAAAACGCCATAAAATAAAAAAAATAACTATTATACAAGATCAAGCCGAAAAGTGGCTGTGTGTGGGAGACTGTAATCAATAGATTGGGAATAAGTTAATAGTAGTAAATCGTATAATAATAGCCATTAAGTCTTGAGATGGTGAAGATTTGTAGCTCACATGGATGATTTTGATGGAGTTTTGTCCTCTAAGCTCCAGCTCAGAGCCGGAGTCTATAAACAGTTCTCGGAAGTTACCCATAATTTAATCTTTTTTGCATTAGGGATAATAAAAACCATAAGGATTTGTTCTTATTCGGTCAGATTTTCGTCCGATGATCTGCATCTGCCTTGGCTGTGTTACACACTTTCTCTTGTTACATGAGTTATTTTTAGGTTCATTCCCAATTCGGTTAATTATTAATGGTATAGCCAGCTTTTGCTGGACCGGATGAAGGATGCAGTAGACGCTCAACTTCGAGATCAACAAGCTGGATTCCGTAAGGATCGGTCGTGCACAGACCAAATTGCAACACTACGGATCATCGTCGAACAATCAGTTGGGTGGGACTCGTCACTATACATCAACTTCATTGATTATGAAAAGGCATTCGACAGTGTAGATAGGAGGACATTATGGAAACTTCTTCGACACTACGGAGTTCCTGAGAAGATTGTCAATATTATCCGGAACTCATACGACGGACTACAGTGCAAGGTCGTGCATGGAGGACAGCTGACAGCTGCATTCCAAGTAAGGACCGGGGTCAGACAAGGCTGTTTACTCTCTCCCTTTCTCTTTCTTCTGGTGGTCGACTGGATTATGAAGACCTCGACATCTGAGGGAAAACACGGAATACAATGGACAGCTCAGAACCAATTAGACGATCTGGACTTCGCAGATGACCTAGCTCTTCTATCACGTACACACGAACAGATGCAGACAAAGACAGCCAGTGTAGCAGCAGTCTCTGCATCAGTAGGCCTCAGTATACACAAAGGGAAAACCAAGGTCCTCAAATTCAAAGCGGAGAACAGCAATCCAATCACTCTTCATGGCGAAACTCTGGAAGATGTAGAATCCTTCACATACCTAGGAAGCATCGTCGATGGACAAGGAGGTTCAGATGCAGACGTAAAGGCGAGGATTGGCAAAGCAAGGGCCGCATTCCTACAATTGAAGAACATATGGAATTCAAAACAACTTTCAACCAATATCAAAGTGAGAATCTTCAATACGAACGTCAAGGCAGTTCTACTGTATGGAGCTGAAACTTGGAGAACTACAACAACCACAATCAAGAAAGTACAAGTATTTATAAATAGCTTTCTACGCAAGATACTCAACATCCATTGGCCAGATACCATCAGCAATAGCCTTCTGTGGGAGAGAACAAACCAACTTCCAGCTCAAGAGGAAATTAGGAAAGGATGATGGAAATGGATAGGACATACATTACGCAAATCGTCAAACTGCATCACGAGACAAGCCCTAACTTGGAATCCTGAAGGGAAGCGGAAAAGAGGAAGGCCAAAGAACAAATTGCGTCGGATAATAGAAGCAGATATGAAAAGGATGAATTACAACTGGAAGGAGCTGGAAAAGATTGCCCAGGACAGGGTTGGATGGAGAATGCTGGTGAGCGGCCTATGCTCCTTCACGAGGAGTAACAGGCGGAAGTAAGTAACAGCTTTAAATCACATCGAATCCCCCACTCTTTTCGGGTCAGCCGTATTTGGTTTGTATGTCACACCCATATCTTTTCTCCGACTTTTACTTCATAAATAACTTTCCCTTTGCTGTCGATTATAGTTCCAATCTTCCAAGTTGGCTTTACTCCATAGCAATCTCTTGCTATTACCGCTTGCCCCACACTGAAACAATTTGTTTACTGGATCATTTTTATGATACCATTGTTGCTCATAATGCAGATTCAAAATAACATTCAATTTGTTATTTCTATCTATCAGAGTTTGCACTTAAGTCATATTGTTGCGCCAATCGCATTTCGTTATGATCAAATAATACTAGCAGTCTAAGTAATGGTTGATGGAGAATATTGGATTAAAATATTAAACTCAACCAACTGGCTACATGAGCAGACACTCAATAGTTAGATAATTCATGTGATTTTACTTGACTGGGTTATCTCCATTTTCGTGAAACGGTATATGTACAACGGACATAATCTGTAATTTACTAGTCGTCCAAATATTAAAAATTGAAGGCAAAGTATAAAACCCATTTATTTACTTTAAACTGAAACTTTTCAGTAGTGACTCATTTGACAATAAGTTTAGATTTATTTATTCAGCTCCAGTTGAATTGTATGATATTAAATAAATATATTCGTAGACTGGTATGGTTTAAATGTAGGTAGAAACAATCTAATGTGTAGATGCACACTTACTAAAATAAATATTAGGAATCTGCCCACTTTAACAATCAGTATATTCATAGTGATTTAAGTTGCCTGTAATCAATAAGGTATTCATATTCTATCAAAAAATTATTTAGGACACTACCTTTCCTAACATTTCACAAGTATTATATGAAAGAAAAATGTATTGCCTACATAAAATATCTAGTTTTTTCATAACACGTTGTCTCCAAGTAAACGTTTTTTCCATTTAAACTAACTTTTATGCTGCATTCCCCTTCCTCAACAAAAACCAATTGTTAAAAACATCTAAATAAGAACTGGGCACGGTTAAAATGCATATAAAGGGTAGTGTGCTTCATTACTTTGATTATTGCCCCAGTAGGGCAGACCGCAAGTCCAGACAGCATGTGTTCAAATATTTTTAGAAAATATCCTATTTTCTTCCTCTTTTGGGTTCCTGATTGGACTGATTCACTAAAAAGTTGATGCTTTCGTTGTGTTTATGTTTGTGTGCAGGTATTCACTAATATTCACGCTGGGAATCACACAAACACATTAGGAATCTTAGTGTTTATTTGGGTAAATCGTATCGATTGCACACATATTTTTCTGCCAACTAAGTGAAACAGAAGCTTCAGTTTATCAAATATATTTTGCTATTTTGATAGTTCGGTCATTAAGTTTCGAACGGAAAGAAGAGTCTGGTAAGTGGAAAATCTAACGCGTATGTTGTTTAATCTACGATTAACTACGTTTTATCGTTTAGGATTATTTCAACCTTTTTTTCAAATTAGTCTATGTTCAGAGTTCTATGGTGTGATTAAACCGAATTTAGAATTGATGTATTTCAGTGCCTTATAATTATTTGCTACTTGAGATTTTTACTGGATACGTAATGCTTATAAGACTGTGGAGGATGAATATATTAAAGAAATTACTCTTTTCCACGCATTTTCATTTGAAGAGTCTACAAAATTTCAGGCTTTATTGTGGCGGCTTCCCATCATAAATCTTTAACCTAAACTCTTTATTAGTTGGTGATTTAAATATGTAAAGTAATTAATAGATATATAATATGGAGTTTTCAAGTGCAACTTATTGTTAATAATGGATCACCAGTTACGGCTAGCATTACTGGTTTTTCTGCAAAGGAATGTACCATTTTAAACTTATTGGTGAATTCCAAGTTATTCTGTCTGTTTATCTAAGGTCACTGATATTTCAAAGAGTTAGGCCATCATGGAAACATTTAAAAATAATTGCCTCAAGTAGTACTGCTAACTATTAATATTGGTAAGCTTACTGTAATCTAAAACTTAACGCTTGTACATTTAATAGTAACCAATTGGAGAACTGTTCATTTTATTTCATGTTTAGTTAATCTTTAAGAGTTACTTATTTTACTTCGTCTGGATAAACAGTACCTTTTATGTTTACACTAAAGCTGAATATCAGATAAGTAGTGTTAGGTTGTTGGATAAAAACTAATGTATGTGTTGTTATATCAATTAAATAGATAACAGATTTACAAAATCAACTACATAAAGTTTCTTTTTTATCCGAGTTATCACTTAAACTTATCGAGTGAAATAATAAGGTTTCCACTGTTTAAGAATACGACAAAATACAGCATCTACAAGAAAGTAAAAATATATACATAAGAGTTTCGACAAAGCTAAAAAGTCGGTAATAATGAGCATCAATCATGTATTTCCGTGAGTCAATTCCATTTGTAGCAAGTAGTTATTCGTAATCAATTGTTGAGTCCAGTAATTTATGTTGGTTTGGCTCTCCTAAATTGCTAATAATTTACTTATTGGATATTATTGAATATTCTGAGAAAACCCATAATTATTGTTACCAATTAGCACGTAATATGTCTCCAAGAGATCACTTCATTTTTAGAAATAAAAGGGATTTGATGTCCATTATTAATAGTAGAAGAGTAATAAAGATAAGGTGCTGTAAGATAAATGACTATGATGAATTAATACATATATCACTATCACATACTCAACTACTCAAATTTTCATGTTTACTTGAAGGATTAGCTGATGTAGAACGAAAGGTTTGTTATTTGTATTTATTTAAAACTGACTGATCACAACGTGCTCACCGGATATTATATACAGTTCAAACACTCATTTGTTGTCGAACAGAAAACGTTCTGAAGTCAGTTTTCGTCGATAACATTAGCTAGAGAACCATGTAATGGAGAACCGAGGGTCCATTCGTACCAGTGTGAAAGCTACAGCTGCACTTAGTGAGGACTTCAAACAGATTATAACCTACATGTCTCACGACAACAATATTTATCCAGTGAGTTGATATCCAGTATTCCATAAGAGATTGTTGGCTAGTCCTTTAATTCACCAAACATCTAATATTTAACATTAATTTGTCGGGTTAAGAGGGGAACTATTGTTGTTCTTTAGTAACTCACCTTCCATAGACATAGTCAATTCTAAGAATCTTAATTTTGTGGCCGTCTTGGAGACCGATACTATCTGGACCGTCAATCATTCATTTTAATGATAAGTTATGAAAACCTCATTCAACACCAATTCTTCAAATTTTGTCCAAACAATTTCAGTTCTGAAACGACTAACAACAATTCTAATTTCATGAAATATAAAGCCATTTCTTGTTCATGGAAATCCTTAAGATTATATCAATATCCTTTTTATTATATTATAAGGGCACAAAAGCTGAAGGTTTTCACGAATACCTAACATCATTCACTGTAAGGAAGTTATTAAAGTTAATTAGATCACTTCTTAAGGCATTCACTCTATCAGAAAGAAAAGCAATCATGTTCACTTCAACTAGCCCCATAAATAATAACCTCATGGTGCCCAGTACTGTATCGTCTGCATCAAGTGACATTATTATTTCTTCAACTACTGGTGTTCCAGCTAATTTCAACAGTCCCATTGGCTCATCAACTGCTCAACCATCCGGAGTTACATATACAAAGGACCATGAAGACATTCAGTTTTCCAACACAACATCTACATGCTTGAATCCTGTAGCAGACATCTGTACCAAAGTAATCAATGAAGTTGAAGCAACCAATATATTAGATCCAATTAACTCACATCAGGTAAGTTATTATAGGTATAAATATATTATACCATTTGACCGGTATACATACAATGTTTCTATAGCATAAGTCATTCATGAATTGATCTTCTATTTTTGAGCCAAATTACACATCGCAAAAATTTATTACAGATCATTGTATCACTGTTCACTTTAAAGGACGGGAATTCGAAATCCTATTATTTATCATTTGGTACAAGATTCTTTAGGTGGATATGTGGTGGATTTATTAAAGAGAATTCAAAAAGTTAAACCAAATGTATAAATAACTATTGTCATTTAGTTAAGTTCGGATAACTAAGATTCCAAATACATTCGATAGTCTCAGGTCCAACGTGGATATTCATAACAGGGTTTATCTATCTATTTGTTTTTACCTGTATTTATCTTTCATTATCAGTAATAGCTTAGTTTGATATAATGTTTTAAGTTCAATAAATCAACCATTAAATAGTTAAAATACACTTAAATCAAATTACTAGTTAAACGTAAATAGAAAGTTGTCACCATTAGACTCCAGTATTTTTCATGTATGTTACAAGCGCATACCATAATCTTTATATCAAAACTGTAAATCAGATCGTCACAGTCGTTAATCTGAGTCTTTGATAATCACAGTTTTAAATCTGTAAGAGTAAGATAATGGACTAAGGTTTATAGACCTAATTTCAATAAGTTTCTGTAGTACATGATCGCGATTTAACTACTCATTGTAACGTTAACTAAAACATAAAAAGGTTACATATCCGGAGACCTCACCTTCTTTAACTGTTCGCACTGATAACTGTTTAAATGAATCGTGCTATACCATTATCAAACAAAGAGCTAATATTCCCTCCTACATTCCAACCATTAAATATATGATTCCTGCTAACTAATTCACCATATAAATTAAATTCCTTACGTTAATATCCATAGATCAGGCCGTATTTGGTTTTTCAAGTGACTAGTCCTTTGTTCTAATTGACGAGTTAGCAAATACCAGATGTAACCGGGTCTAAATTTAACTTGTATTGGGTTGTTAAAAATCTTATTGCCCATTCTGTTATCGTCCACAATTTAGCTAAAATGGTTCAAGAGAGTCTAAGCACTAATCGTTTGATTGTCTCTTATCTTCCATCAAGTCACGATTCAATAATTAAGCGGAATATATTGCACATATAAATAAACATCTTATTTCTGTTTTCATCAATTACGGGTATGTTTATCCTGTCGAAAATGTCTTATTCCATAATTTTGGATGATTAAAATGAGCTTCGTGATCAATGCATGACAATCGTTTGTACAAAGAATACTACATGACCCAGACAAATTTCATAAAACAAACTTATAGACATCCTAAAATTATTTGAAGGCCACCGCAAAAGCTCAGCATACTACAAAAGGGAGAAAATATTCCTCTACTTTTAAATGAATGGAATACTAGACAGTTTTTAAGTACTCATATGCTTGATTAATCCCGTATATACATTGAAAAATCATACTAGATAGAGGTCATTTTCCAGAAACGATGGAAGTATTTCTGGTCAACAAAGTGCTTAACCGAAAGTAAAGCTAAGAGAAGAAATATACCAACTCCACATGTATCGATCCTATTGATGTAGACGATAGTCATAAGTTTTAAAATTTGTTTAACAATAATTAATCCAAGTTTAAATAGTACAACGAAGAAATTTGGTTATTTATTCTCTAAAGAAGTGATTTACACTAAGTCACGAAACGTCAGAAAATCTAATTTTCTACTCATTGGGATATTACAAATATATTATTTATTTATAACAATCTACCCAATGCTCAATTTATTCGAAATTATCAAATCAAATCTTGGTAATGATACATACAATGTAGATAAATGCCTACTTTAAACAGCAATTTTAATAGATTTCTGACTATTTGATTTAGGTTGCCTCACTGGAAGCTGCTGTAGCAGCAGCAGCTGCGGCCTTGGTTGTCTCATCGAAAACTTCTACAATAATATCACCGGTTTCTACTTATGGTGATCCTGTTAACCACCCAGCTCACCTAACTGACTTGTCAACGAAAGATGCTAGTTCTAATGCTCACGTACAAGATAAAACAGAAACGAGCTACTCATTTACTTCATCAAGCTCTTCTATAACTCAGAATCATAAAGTTCCATTATTTTCCTTATGTGGAGATTTAAACTTGCCGCTGATTACTTCAACTGCAATCACATCTAGTGCTTCTCCTTCAGTCACTAGTTCCATCATGAATTCCGGAACAGCAGCCGGTTTAGCAGCTAATCTGGTCAATGTTGGACCTAAACGTCTCCATGTGTCTAATATTCCATTTAGATTCAGAGAGGCAGACCTTCGTCAGCTTTTAGGAGTAAGTTATGCAAAATTTTACACTAAACATAAAATTAAGGTTATTATAAGTAGTTTCCTTTTTCAGTATCATTTGTTAAACTAGAACATACTTCTCACTTGGTCAAGTGTATGTTGGATATAACTAATCCCATAAATGTCCAAAACGTTTCATTGTGTATTAGACTGATAAAAATGTCATTCTACATGACAAGTAAACGAGCAAACAAATCGGTAGCTAACCAATACTATCGGATGTAAGCCCAATTACATTAACCTATTAACCTACTTTAATAACAGTAACAGTTAAGAATCCAATTTTTCGTAATCACTTTGTAATCTTTATGATTAATTTGAAGTGTAATTGAAGAGAACATATCTAGTCACTCATCTTCCTTCATTTTCCTTTCTTTTGACCACTAATAGCCATTTGGTACAATATTGGATGTAGAAATTATCTTCAATGAACGTGGTTCCAAGGTATATTTTTCAATTTTTAATTTTAGCAGTATTTTTTTTTGTTATTCTGAAGATATAATCCACATTGACTGATATTTTGGAGAGATAATAAAACGTTCGATAAAGTGACTTCTAGCAAAATGCTTTTTTATTTAATGTCCTGGCAAAATCTCCACATACTCATCAATGATTATGATAGTCCGTATTCTCTTGCAATAGTCATGATGAAAGAATTAGTAATCTGCACGATCATTATTGGCAGCAACTGACAGTTATCAAATAAAAAGGAAAAGTATTCGCGGGTTTTGTTTCTGAAAATACTTTGTGAAAGTTTTTGGTTAATTGAAATTCCAATGATCGGGAAGTATTATCAAAAGTGAAAAACCATTGGCAATAGAAATTTATATCAGAAATACGAGGAAGCTAAATTACTGAGTCTATTGCATACTACATTCCTTATTTTCTATGATTACTATTGGGAACGCATTCCCAACTTCTGTTAGGATTAAGACCATATTTCATAGTTTTTTTATGGAGGTATTTAATGATCGAATAGCCGTTTTTAACTTTAACTACCCTAGGACTTCAGTCGATAAAATGAAGTCGGAACTTGAGGTCTATTTCTAAGTGGATAGATAAGATTATTGTTCAGTAACCACCTCCCTTTGATATTTGTCACCCTCCATTCTGGAAACACTGAATCGGTTAACCTCGATAAGCACTTAAGAGATTAATTTTGTGAGTTTTACGTTGAGTACTGAGTAGGCAAGGTTTATTTATTCCATCTTAAACTTTAACAGATGTATCTATAGTCGGCTATTATAGTTATTTAATAAAATTGGTCAAGGTATATGAATAGTAGTAATTTCCCCCCTATTTACATCATTATTGGACAATTGGGTTCAGATTTCACTATTTTGCTCTTTTTTTCTTCCATGGACTTCTTTCAAATTTTAATCTTCTTTCATAAGCCTGATATCTAAACAATTACCCTCCTCTCTCTTCATTATGTTTGTTGATAGGGTTTTGGTTTCGTCACATTCGCAACGGGCGAAGAAGCTGATCATGCAAGAGAAAATCTAAATGGCACGGTAGTTGAAGGCAGAAAAATTGAGGTAGGATCCTACTGAGATATTGTAAAACGACACTAGATTATGGAACCAAAAAAGAAAAAAATACATTGTTTAAACATCCCAATCTATGCGATACTTGTTTACTTAAATTAAGGTTACTTGCACAGTAAATCTCCACTTATTTATGAAAGGGATTTGTGAAAGACATATCTACAAAGAAAATCATGACCTCAACTAACTGAGTCACTCTTTCTGTATTTCACTCTCAGTCCATCATACTAACCACATACACAATTATTGCTATGACCTTTGGTGCTTGTTTGTTAGTGAAGGGTACATAAGAAAATCAATTCAGTTAATGTACTGCATACGTGAAACAAATGAATGTGTTGGCATGTTCTAATTCGTATTAATATGTCTTCAAAAAAGTGTAAAAATCTATGCTACATTAAAATTGTGTTCATTTGTTTGCTTTCTTACAACCTATTAAAATTTGTGTAAAGCATCAACTTGGCACTTTCTATAATGGAAAATTGTATCTTTGATGAGGTGAAATCTTCAAATAATTTGACAAAACGCTTCTGGGAATTAAAATACTGGATATCTTTTAACAACATATATTGTTTAAAACTATCCGTTTGCCGACAATAATCAAGTAGTTATTAACCGACAGATGGAAATGTTTCTAATGAACATAAGGTTGTTTCACTAATTCGAATTAGTTTCCAAATGTTTGAAAGTAGAAAGTAATAGACAATTGTTTTGTCATTCTTTGGAGGTATTCATCAATTTTAATCCATAACACTTGTTTATTAAAAATCTGGAATCTATAAACCCTTATACAAATACTCTAGGTTGAAAAATTATTGGGTCAAATTGTAATAACTGATATTTTTGCTTGAGCGATTTACTATATAGGAAAACGTTCTTTATTGTCATCTACATTACTGTTATAATCAAGCGCCAAGTAGATTTAGGAGGCTGAATTTCAGACCAGTCATTAGTGAGTGTTCAGGGATTTATCCAGTCCCATTTTGATGCAACTCTCGATACCCTACAATACTATAAGTTATTGAAATTCGCCACCCGCCTATATCAACTTGTTATTTAGTCCTCTTAATGTTATGTTTTCCTAAGCGTAGGATTAAAACTCATTTTAGAATTAATTTATTGATTGTTAACCAATTATATTTTTAAAAAGTTAACAATTTATGTTTCGAAAATTCCAGTTGACATGCTGACTCCACTTTTCAATCACGAGCTGTGAAATTTGTAAAGAACATTATGTGTTCATTTGAAGACCTCTTAGACCAATAGACTAGTACTTTTGTCATACAGTCAACCTATTTAATAGACAGTGGGATATTAGAAAGCATTTAGCAACTTGGTCACTTCTTAACTGAATAAATCTTTTAAAAACAACGTTTGATTAATCTTTGATGAACAAGATGACTGAAACTGAATCACTTCAAAAACTGTTGTGCTACAGAAAAACTCTTTAGAAATTATTGTCGAAATGAGATTCATACACTTGACATACTCTAAACTAGTGGTGAAAATTAGTTGTATTCTCCAGTTCACAAGATTCATTATATGGCTCACTGTCTAAAACTGTTATTTGCACTTAATAGTGTGATGATATGACTTGAATTGTGATCTTCGAAAATAATACGATAATCATTCGACCAGATTTCAATGTTATAGATGAAAATACTGTCAAATTACAATGTATATTGTAGATTGATTTTAAAGTGATTTTCTATCAAAAGAGTTAGAAATTTTCTAATCAAGACATCATGTACTCATACTTTGATAACACAATATGTTAATTGCTGATAGTCGTATATGTAAGTTAACCAATTACACCTCGTAAATGAAGTATCATAGAGTAAAATAGGCATCATGTTGAAGCATTCCTATACTTAAAGAAGAAGAATGTATTTGTAAAATCTCAGCGAAAGAATTTGAGGTAAATCCAACGTTTCGCCTGGCAATCTGGTCCAAGCTTTTTCAAGGAAAATATAATCAAACAACAAAATTATCGAAACGTTGGATTTACTTCAAATTCTTTCGCTGAGATTTTACAAATACATTCTTCCTCTTTAATGACTCACATTAACTCGGCGCCCAAATATTGTGAAACTATTCGTTCAAATTTGGACGAAAGTTCTTATTTATTCCTACACTTGAATGTTTAGATATTGCATTATGAATTAAGTAAAATGATGACATAGTGAAGAATGAATAACAAAATATTTGAAATGCATCATACACTTTGTATTATTTTCGTAGTAATTTTAATTTTTGATCATTCTTCTATGTGCAAAACAATCTGTTTCTAGTATGCTGAATTTCACTCTCGTTCACTAACATCACTGGTCCAATACCCATAAGACGACATACTGGTAAACAATACTGTGTGTTATCAGTCAATGAACATAAGCTTTTTCAATATTTGAATGCGCAATTCTGTGTGCAAAGCCTATGTTATTTAGTCAAATATTTGTTGGTTCATTTGTGAATGTGTTTGTGTGTGTATGATAATGCACTGAACACAAGTGCATATAGATTGAAACTACTCACTACGTAAGCATGTTAATACCAAATTACGACAGATTAATGTATAACGATAACTTAGAGCTTGAAATGGGTAACTTCACGAATCACAATTATACCCGAAGCTTTTTGATAATTTGAAAAGTAAAGTTGATTGTAGTTTGAATCATTTTTTTATTTTTAATGTTTAAGTTACATACTGATGTACATTATCAATTCTTTTTCTGTGGTATAATCTTGATAAAAGTTCTGTAAATCAATGGAAAAAAGTGAGCAGCTAGTATATTATCTGTATGGCAGCTTTGACATTTGATTTTCTACTATATAACTTTAAGGCATTTTAGTAATTTTTTCACTTTCGAGTGACTGTAGATTTGTTAGCATTTATGGGCAATATATATTGAAGCTTCTGTTGTCGAATGGAACCCTTCAGCTTAAAGTTAATCTATGTTCCACATTTAGAGCTTTTCCGATAACTATTTGACACGCATGACATTCGCGGCACGCCATTTGTTCACAGAAAAGCGATTTAATCAGGTTCGCATGTATAATTACTTATCTGTTTCTATGTTGATAAAGTGTTTTTTTTCAATGCTGATACGTGTGACATTTGATAGACTGATCAGTTGATGCATGTAATGCTGCATTACCTTAAATTTAGTGTCCTATGGTCGATAAAATCAGCTTTAACGAGGTTAAAGGGAATTCAGGAGTTATGTAGTTAGGCTACCAATGATATGAGAGTATTTGATGTGTTTAAGTCCAGTGATGCACGCAGCTTCATATTACTAACTAAAGTACCGGTTAATTATGTCTTTCAATCAGGAGGCTTACATGAAATCTTTCTAATTTGAGATTGATTATGCGAATTATGGGGGAAACCGGAAACCTCATCTGGCCTAGTTATCTTCATCTCTCTTAACGAAAAACATAGTGTCTGTCTTTTTATCTAATAAAGGATAGTTGAGTAAGTTATGAAGTCATTTTTGCTGTTTGATTATGATCTATAAGCTTTATAAAGTTACGATGTACATCGTATTATTGTCACTGATATGTCATACAATGGATTATGAATATGATTTTATGTAGATATTTAAAAAGCATTAAGCGATTATGGATAATTTGTAGACAGGATCAGGAGAGAGGTTAGTGAACCACGAATTCTTTTCACACGTTGATATTTGTATTTAATTTCTAATTTAAATAAGCTGAAGATATACTATCTTTTAGGAACACTGACATTATCTGACTGCTTACTTCGAAAGTTAATCATTCAGTAAAGTATAAAAGATTTCCAACTTTCTGTCACTGCATTCTACTTTGATGCAATAGATTAACTCTCGTTGATTACTTCAGTCTCAAAGCCGTACTTCGTTACCATTGATAATGGAACTAATAAAACTCAGGGGCATTTAACAAAGTACTACTAGTGACAATTTAGGCTTTATATTGAAATAAAAATAGTAGAGACAAACTGAAATTCTTGACCAACTGTTTTGTTTCCAAATGTCCGTCAAATAACATTAATGGTCAATCAATCATTTATAGCTTATTACTCATATTTTGCAAATTTTTACCCTAAAACGAATTTTGAAACAAATCTCTGATACTCATTTTAAAAGATGGTTAAAAGGTGCCTTAGATATGAGTTTTATGTTTGTTACGATTCATTAAATAGGTATATTTCAAATCTTGTTCAAACCTATTATGTAGCTAACTCAAGTTCTACCACGTAATAGCTGAATGTCGAAATGTTTAGCCAGGTACAAGTCCGATTTACAAGTGATAAGAAATAAAAATTGATTGACAAATATCGACTTTATCTGTTATACGATTTTAGTTTGTCCTAAATTCATCGACAAAGTCTTTGAGGTGTGTATTTACTTACGCCAAACATTTCAAAACAGTTACTTGTTTTACACTGGATTAGTAATTACTTTTATTACCGCTTCAATTGCTTATTGGTATATACTTAGTAGTTAGATACTCTTATGTTTGTACTAAAAATCTGAACCTATAGGTCTGCGTGTCTATCCATTTTCTTACTAGATTAATAATGCTACTGCACGGGTTATGACAAAGAAAAAGTCTGAATCACCTACACTCCTGAAAAGTAAGTTCATCTTATCAATAAAGTATGGGATTCAAAATCGTAATTTAAATAAGAATATATGTATTATATTTTTTGGGGCAAAAAGAGTGGTGCATCATTACAAATGTTAGCATGACAGTAATTAGCATGTCCGCGTGTATGGTAGAAAATAAGACTATTTTAATAGTTCCAAATCTTCTTCAGTGCCTTTTAGTCATGTACATTGTTTCTAAAGGTTCAAATATATTGATTTCTCATCGAAATTTTACGTAATATACGAAAGATCACTACTAGTTTTATTAGAGCGATTCAGTCACTAGTAATGATTAGCCATGTTAGAATGCTCTTTTACAATCACGTTATTAGCTACGAATCAGGAAACAAAAGTGAATCAACACAGTGATCAGATTACCAGCATTTAACTTATGAACCTAACTGGTGTCTATCTATTAAATATGTTGCATAATTTCATGTTGATTATATTCTCTGAGTATATAGTTTGTCATCTTTAGTATTATGAATGATTGTAGGATCTACAAAGTTGGCGGATTTTTAAGACGGACAAAATTTTGAAATTCGTCTGCTGCTTTTAATGATACGATATCCACCTTGCTGAATAATTTGGTTATCAAGCTTTCACTATCATTACATAAAGGATTATTAGTGTAAACTTATAAAGTAAGATCGATCTGTTGAGTTCTCAGACCAGGTATATTAATCAATTTGTTTGATGCGAGCATTACGCTTTACAACTTGATATCATAGTGTAGTGTCCTTGATACTTGAATGTTAATGACAGCCTATAAGAAGTCTACTGCTTTGATAATCAACATGAAATCACATGTGAAAACTTTTTAGTTTAAGATTTGAGTTTACACCCTTCTCTATAATAGTTAGTTGTCATAACTAAGGTAGTATCTCGCTTTTAATTGTTAGCGACAATCTATGAGAATACAATATCAAAGGATTAGTTTCAATTTCTGAGGAAGGGTGAATTTCACTAGAATTTTAAATGTACTATGTCAGTGAACGTCATAAGGTTCAAAGATTGAGGTTAAAGCCTTAATTTAACTTACTCTAATTATGCTATACAAATACGTGAACTTTTACTGCCCACTATCTACGGAAGTGAGAAATTTCGAAGTATAATAATGAACTGCTTTCCCATGGGGGGACTTAGTTAACTGTAAACTCATTATTGAACGACCTCCAAAAACCATCACTTATGATGTTTGTGTTCGCAATATCGGTCAATTTCGAAAGGAAATCCCCGAAGTCTTATTGAGAAGCTGTGACCGATGGAGTTTAAACGGCCCGAGTGTGAAACAGATAACACCGATGGCAATGTAAAGTGTTAGCATAACACCACGCATCGACTAAAGTCAAAAATGTAAGCCACTGAGTACCAACTCATTGGTTGAAGGGTTAAGTACCCATCGCGAGGATTTAGAGTAATGGAGTTGATTCTTCTAAAAACAGTTGTCCAGTGCTTCCTAGTTTTCAATATTTGTTTGAACATAATCAGTCCGTTTTGTGCACCACCAAACGAATAATATCTATAAGATCTTTATACGACTAATAATATTTCTGGGCTGTATTCATGAACGAAAATATAAGCAAATCCATTCTCCTTTTACGCATCCATTTCCTCATTTCTCGAAAAATTTCATTTGTGCATCTGACTGGACCGTCCATCATCACTTGTGTAACACTATGTTACTCGATGTTTACCTACTCTGGAAATTTTATTTAATTTTCTTTTCAACAAGAAGTAGAGTTAGTTCATCAACACTTCATAGCGCTTGCACTTCAAAATATTTTTATATGTTAATGTCATTAATTTTAATTTTTGTCGCTTAAGAATATATGAAAACTGATATTGAAGATTTCAATGTGTTATTTTTTTAAAATTTGAACCCAAGCAAACTTATGTACCATTTGGTTGTTCTGTTATTTTAGCAGCAACAACGCTTCGAGGTGTCAGAGCCCTTGTACCAAGTACGTCTTCGACAGCTGCGATAGCTGCTGCTGCTGCTGCATTGCGTGGTGCAGCAGGGATTACATGTGGATTACCAGTAGTTTCAATGCCAACACCCGGCAACCTAGCATCCATGGTTGTTGGTTCAGGACTTGGTGGACTATTACAGAACCAAGCTTGTTTTGCAGCCACTAACCCAACACTCACAAATATAGCTGCTATGCCTGCTGGTAATACTTTTAATGCGAATCAAGCTTTATTAGCAGCTGCGATGGCAAGTGCTTCAGGAACACCCGTAAATTACAATCCTGCAGCTGCAGCTGCATTCTGTTTAGCTGGAGCTGACCCAAACACCGCAGCTTTACTTGCTAGTTATGCTGCTGCAGCGTTCGGAGGGATTGGAAGTCCAAGTCCTGGATGCCTTGGGACCAATAATGGGCCCGTTAGTGGAACTACACCATCAACCGCCATCCAAACGTTTGGATCACCGTCTCAAGCACCCGGTTTGACAAATTCCTTGGCTGCTATGGCAATGTTCCCCCAAACGGGAACTCTTTTAGGACCGAATGGTCATACACCACTGGTAAGCAATCCATCCCTTACTATAATAATAATGATTCAGACAAGCGCCAAGTAAAATTAAATGACACTAATCAACATAATTTCACTTAAAAACGTGTACAGTCTGGTATTTATACCACTGGTTGTAAATGTGTTATTTTTATTAATTCATGCTGTCTATACGGCGATATATATTTGAGTCCGAACTTATTCAGTTATATATAGTTATATACGTAGTCGTTAGGAGTTGAAACTACAACATAATATATATCCACTAACCATTTTCTACTCCTGTTCTTCAAACGACACCAGCTGTTGATAACAGTTAAATTTATATTATACCGTAAAAGAGGAAATCTTAAATTTTCAATAACAGATTTTTTTTATTTCTGTTTATGAACTGCGAATCTTATATATGTTTCTCCGTTACTTTAATAGGTTCAGTGGTTTGATCCTAGTTCAAATATGGGTGTTGAACTAGAGTTACAGCATCGTATCCAACAGCAACAGCAACAAATTCAAGCAAACCAAAGGGCTCTAGCAGCGGCGGTAGCTGCTGGTTTTACTCCTGTAAGTCTTCCTGCCACGAATACGATCGAAAACTTGACGGGGTCGATTTCAGGGAATCCAGTTGGATTGTGTGGAGCCTTTTCACCTTCTCAAGCAGCTGCAGCTGTAGCTGCAAATATGTTGAGGGCTTTCTCAAACTCAACGAATTCGTTTAATGCTACTAATCTAACGTCTAACAGATCTGTCACAAGCAACTCAAATGTACTTGTTAGTTCAGCTTCCGGTTCTCAGAATGCTACTGCTGTACAAATTCAGGCAAATGGTGCTCATACCTCAATTTCTGCCAGTCAAGTCGCAGTCAGTGGGTCAAATACACCAGGAGTAGTCCAGGCCTCACTTTCTGGAACAAATCAACCTGCAATCGCTGCTGCAGCTGCGGCAGCTGCAGCTGTAGCTTCTCAACATTTTCCCACACAAACATCAGTTAGTCCAACAGTGATGTCGTAAGTATATGGTTTCAAATCAGGTGTTCGTTATATTGTTTAAATGTCTTATTATTATGCAGATCATTAGTTAACACTGATTTGAAAGGTTTTGGTTCAAGGTTTACTGGTTTATTTATATATTCTCCAATACCAGCAATATGAAGTATGTTGTTTGATCAACGAATTGTAGTCTTTAAATTCAGTCAGATAGGCTGGATCAAACCAAAAGAAGCAACAAAAGTTGATGCTTAGTGGTTGTAGACTATACTGGTTTGTGAAAGTAAATTATCTCATCGTAAACCTAACTGCCATCATTTATCATTTGCAAATACAATATAATAAAAATATTACACCAATTCTCGATATTCAACTATAAAGTGATACTGATACCTTTCAATGTCACATTTTCTTGTTGATTTTTGACAAAATAGGGGTGTTTTTAAACGGCGACATTATTTGCTAACACAATCTATTGTCAGTTATACATTGGTTAAAAACTGAGTTGACTGATTAGGCTTATTTCCTATTTCATAACAGCTTTTACCCATAACTGGTCCTCAGAACGTAATTAGAACTATCAGTCTGGGTGACCAATCTGACACACAGAAGTTTTATCAAGGACGTTTGAATTAGGTTTCTGTTAAAGGCATTTCCTACTCATATCTACTACTTTGAAATTTTTAAATCATCGTTTTATGAAAATCCAATTAGTGACATCGATTCCCACCTGTGGGATTGTGGATGAGCATTGCTAAGGAATCCCATACTACGACAAAAAGGCCGTCTAGTGTTCCCAGGTTTTCACTGGTGGCCTAACATTGATCAGTTCATAATTTCAATGAAAATTGAAGGCTATTAAACATATACTCTTTTACTACTTATAGGAGGTGCATCTGTGTATCAAGTCGAAGCAAAGGTCATGACTCTTCTACAGATAATGTCATGTTGTTTATTCTTAGTCCTACCTTCGGAAAAATGTAAAATATTTAGGAAATTGGTGATACAGTGATCCAAATAATGTCTTACTGAAACTCGTCACTTGGAACTCTACTGTTTTATAACTCATCAAAAGAGAAACTTTATCTGAAGTTCATTTTATCATGAGTGTGATGCACTGACATATGTTATTGTTTAATGACCCAAATGGTAGAAGAACAGTTTCAACTGTCAGGTTATTTGCGCCACTAGAGTAAGTGCATATTAACTATAACCAGTTTAGTTTAGTGTTGAATGGTCGAATTTGATCGGAAGATGAACCTCAAAGCACATTTCTTCTTAGTAGGCACTAACTAGAAAGATTTGTGGATATCACTGCCAAGGTTGGGCTTGATATTTTAAAATAAATTGAGCATTGGTTAGAAAGTTAATGATAAATATATATTTTGTGATATCCCAATGAGTAGAAAATTGTATTTCTGACGTTTCATGACTTAATAAAAACCACTTCTTCAGAGTAAATGACTAACCGTGTCGGTCATTTATTTTCTCTGAAGAAGTGGTTTACATTAAGTCATGGAACGTCAGAAATACAATCTTGTACTCATTGGGATATAACAAAAACATAATAATTATTAAAAGGATTCGCTTAGAAATAATAGAAAACTTACTTTTCCCAAATTCAAATATCCGCTGGTGGGAATTTGTTTAATAATCACAATAACTCAATAATAAATACTTAATGCTGTGGTGTTTAATGAACTGACTTAATGACTGGTTAGTGGCTTATATACTGTTTCATAATCTTCAAATTACCTACGTTGTTAAGTATACAAGTTAACGTCTCAATGGTTCTGTATAATTTTGTCTAACCTATTCTATTGAAGTGTCTTTAAAATAAAAATGTGTGATGTTATAATATGTTGTATTATTTTCGATTTCAGTTATTTACCGGATTTAAATGCAGCAGCTGCCGCAGCAGCTAGTATGGACCCTTATCTAAATAGACTTGCAGCGGGCTATGCAATAAACAATGCAGTGGTCACTACACCTGCAATATATCGAACTAACTCAAGCTATCAACGTTTCTCGCCTTATTAAAATCGAATGTACTTCCATCAGCCTTTGTTCGTTTTCGTTATATAGCTAGCCTTATTAGGTGGAATGCACTTCTGCTAATATTGATTATTAGTTGTAAAGCTCATTTTATACAGTTATAATCATCTGCTCGTGTTTATTTGCCCTTATTTATTTCCTGTTAGTTTTGGTGTGCATTGCTCGTCTAAAGAAATTGATTCGACGCATAAATAGGATAGATTGACGTGCTTACAAAATGCAGTAATTTATTCTCCCTTTGAGATTGGGGGTCTTTTTTTACCTACCGTGATTGATTGGTATTATTAGGTTATGCTGAATATCCAGAATGTGTGGAAAGGAAGGTACATATGAAAAATCAAAGTATATCGGAGGCAATTTCTTGTGAATGTAATATATGAAATGCACAAAGCAACACCTGTTGCTTGTCCGTCTACTCAGTTTGCTTGCATATCTTACTGTTGAGAGTTGATAACTTCCAACTAAACAAAAAGTACACATTTCAGGTACTTTTTGTTTAGTGTTAAGTACATCTTTGTGTTTGGTGCATGCACTCCAATTTTGAAATGTGACTGATTATTGCTACTGTTGCCACTTTCTGCTACTTCTAATACTGTTTGTGTATATCACTTTACAAGTATGTGCTCATGTATGTCTACTTATGTTTTTATACATAAAATTTAAATTCTGTTTTTGATGATGACAGTGATGGTACGGATTTTAGTTTCTTTTGTTATCTCTTAAAATTCTAATAATTTGCATTTAAAAACATGCACATGCCTGGTGGGATAAAATAACTTTCCTATCTCTTATTCTCTTCATTTTCTAACACCTACCTATTTTTGTTATTATTTCTACTGAAATAATCAAATACGCTGAATGCCTAAACATTTACTAATGATGCCTTGTTATATATGCTTTCTGCAATAAATAAATAAGGTAACATTTTTCTCCAAGAAAGGCAGAGTTGTGTATACGTCTATTTTGTTTTGATTGAAATGAGTTGAGTGAAATATAGGTTTCTTCTGCTCCATTTATTCGTTCGTTAGTTGGTTTGTTGATCTGTTTGCTTTTGTCAAACTTAACTAGTAATTTTAATAGTATTATGAGATTTATATGCTATTTATAATCAAGCATGTGATATGTTTTAACCAGTAACCATATAATGTTAAACCAACAAATATCTTTGTAGCATTTTGATTCTCGTATTCTCATACATACGTGTTTTCGAAGTGTACCTATCAGTTCACTTGACGTCTGTGAAAGTTTGTTACCATTTCTCTTTATTATGTTGAGAAACATCATTCTTATTTGAGTGGTTTGTTTTATATTTTCTTTGAAGGTATAATCTATAGTATTTTTATTATTATTTGTCTTCTTTGACTACTATTGTACTACATCAATGTTCTACGCTACATATTATTTCATACATTGTATTTTCCTCATAATTATTATTTATTAGTGACTGAAAAATTTCTTTATAACTGCAATTTTTTTACTTTTTAAATGAGTTGTGATTACTTCATTGTCCAAGTCTTTTCCTTTTTGTTTCTATATCTACTTATCTTTATTTCAGTAAACAAAAAAAATGAAATAAAATTAATTCACTTATCCAGAGTTTTTATTCTGAATTAAGTTGGTACACGCTTATGCATAATATCGGTTGATAATTCATAGAGATTACACTAGCTTCAGTACATAAGTTAGATTTGCCAAATATATAACAATTGTAAACCTCCATAATTTGAAGTTTAACACTAAGGCTGCACCAGATCAGTTCTAGTAGTACTAAAAGGAAATCTTGTGTGATTCTCAGTGACAGGTTCGAATAACGAAAGGATTTCATGTAAACAGCTACTGTGCATTTGTATATTTTAGGAAGTGATACCAACATTATAGTTAATATGTCAGTAAGCAGTTGATTAGGACACCATACATGTTATTTGTAAAAGTAGATAGTATGCATTCACTGACCACACTATACATATTGCGAAAGTCCATAAACAACTCATTTCTCGAGACAATCTGATGAACGAAATAGCAATAATTACCAACAAATTACATGTAACAGAAATGCCAAGGACATATTCATCATATTATTCATTTTGTTCTATTTAAATGGTTTTTACGGCATATATTGAACAGTAATTGCGTTTATAATTGTTCGTATGATCACCAATAGAGGGTTCCAGATAACAACAAAGTTATTATCATTTGACTGTGAATATGAATAGCTCGTGATTACATTCGGTCGAGAGAGATGCTGTTAAGTAAACAATAAAATGTATTTATTTTGTTAGGTTGTTTTTGTGGCTTATATATTCCTCAGAGTACTTCAATACAGATTTTATGTAATCTGCAAAAACTAAAGGCTAAAAGAGGTGAATCTACATTAACCACATGACAGACAATGACCATACTTATATAATCAAAAGTGACCAATATGATAAAATAAGTGATTTAGTCTTTCAGTACCTACTGTTAGTTTGCAATTTGCACATTTCCAACTATGATTGCATGACAATTGTAAACTTTAACCGGTTTTAGATGAGAAACGCAATAGCGCTAGAAACTACATGATGAGTAGTCATTTTGGGCTGCAATTAAACGCAACTCAATCTCGTAAATGTGCCCTTCAGCTTAGCAACCAATCAGAATGAGGCGGGAATTATTACATCCGCCATCTTCGTAAGCAATGGCGGTCGGCTTTCTTCGTTCTGTGCTTCTTTCAGCTACTTCTTTTGTGTAGCTACGGAATTTGATATTTCAGTGTGCTAAAATTCAGAAGTTAGTGTAATACTCTGAACGTCGGAGCAAAGTTTTTCCTGATTTCGCTTTGTTTTCTGGGTTTTACCTGCTGCTAATGAAGTCACTGTATTTATTCAGCTAAGCTGGCTAGTACTAACATGAGACCTTACGTTTTCAAACGACAATCGGTTATGTTTTATCTTGTTTTCTAGATATCCGAAGCCGAAGTTCCTTTTCATTTAGCTAAAATAATTGTTGCTGTCGCCTGTGACTCTAACTGTTAGCATGTTCGTTCCTAACTTTCCTTTATGATGTTATCGGCAAAGTGAAAGAAAACAGTCTGCGTTTTTCAAATTTTCTTCAGTAGTATGGACAACACTATCCCACCAACGAGTCAAACTAATACAGAGTGCCCAGCAGTAGGGTATATCGGTATTGATTTTGAAAGGACCCAGACTTCCGACAACTATAGATGAAGTCACAGATGCTACCAATCTATTGCAGAGGGTTTGTTATGAAAAATATGCCATATAGCAGTAATAGAGGGATTGTGCTCATTACTCAGTGCGTTAAAGCAAGCTTAACATTGAAAAGCCAGAAATCTGCTACCAGTGTCTAGTGTATGTTTGCGGTTTTGGCCATAAAAGGAAGCCGAAGGGTCATGATCAGGGAGTGAAACGGTAATTAACTGTTATTAAGCTCACTTTTTTATAGATCATATTTCACCACTCGCAAATATGCGTTTTCTTACGGTATGATGTCAACTGGTACCTAATATGTTCACCCTCACGATGAAAAGTACCTGCAAATTTTCACCTCCATATTCAAATTATTTTTGGGCAACTGTCTTACAGTCTGAGTGCTTCGTACGCCCCGAGAAACTATTTCTACAACATTCGTAGTTCCAGTATAACTTTCTCACGCAGTAAGTTCAAATTAGACACTAGTCTTTCTAAATAAGGCTGTTAATCTAATATCCATATTCTCTATTTCAGTTAATCGATGAAGACATGTACCACGTGCATCTGCTGTATACTGCCATTTTACTCCAATTCTAACTGTTATATCTTACTTTTGAATAATAAAGTTGCTATATGCTGCAAATACAGATTTATTTGTTTTGATGGAGGTAGGGGGGTTCATAGGATTTTCACTAAAGAGCTAAGCAAGTGCGTAAACCAGTGTAAGGTACCATACGGGGTGCATTTGAGTTATTAGTGTGCCATTAGTGCGGGTAGGGGCATTGCTTGCTTGTCATATGAATTAGAAGCTATAAGATAAGACGCAGGTACGGTTAGGATGTGTAACGCGTGTCCATTCATCAGCTGGCGTGACAACCCATGGTGGTTAGAATAAGCTATAAGAGGACCCGAGTCTGTAGGTCTCCCAAGGAAATGCACCAAATCACCTTATGAAGAGCGCCTTCAATCACTTAACCTCTACTCATTACAGTATAGACGTCTTAGAGGTGGCCTAATGGCTTACAATAACCTTAACACTTCTGGACATCCCCTAAAACACCTAATTAAGCTTAGTTCCAACACTAACCTAAGGGGTAACACCCAGAAACTAGAGACACAACATAGCAGAACGGACTGTAGGCACAACTTTACCTCTTTAAGAGTTGTCAAATGTTGGAATTTTCTGCCGGCCGAGCTAGTACAAGCGATTTCGCAGGAGTCCTTTAAGAGGCAACTGGGTTTATTCTTAAGGACTAAGTATAGTATCATACTATGATTTACCAATTTCTTTTTCCTCTTTTATTGTTAACATACCTAGTTTTCTGCCTTGAGGTATTGGTGATCCCCTGCTACTAGACACGGAAGCCTGTTAAGCGAAAGCTTCTTCTATTCAGTCCACAACCATTTGAACATATGAACTAGGTGCTAAGAGGCTCGCTTATCACAAGTTTCTTGCAACGATTAAGTAGATAAAACAAAGTAGCATTATATTCAGAAATATATTCAAGAACTTTCATTAAGAATCGAATATCAAACAAAGGTTTAAACCAAGTTCCCGTTTAAAAGTTGTATTGGTAATGTTATTCTGCAGTTTTTGTTGTTTTTTTCCAAACGAAAGAGTAAAAGAAGTCAAAAAATACTGGAAGTGGTTGTGAGACTAAAATGGACGTCCAGCATCCTTTTTATAATCTGCTGTTCGTTGGATCTCCCGTAAACAGTTCCAAGGGCAAAAGTTTTTTATGATCTGTGAAGACTCACTCCTGTTGCATTCTAAATGAAAAAAATGGTGATGAATTTAGTCAGAAATGTGGAATATATAAATAACCAAATCACATGTTTTTTAGCAAAGAATTTATGCAGTTGTGATTTACCTTGAGTTCATGAATATTAGATAAAGTCAGCTACTATTACTTGCGCAAAGCATAACATGGGCTTAGTACCGTATTGCAATGCTTTTATTATTTTGCTCCCATTTAAGTATTCCCATGCATCTGCGTCTAGTTTAACAGGAAAATATACCAGCAGAGTAAGTGTATGATAAACTAAAAGTCCCAGTTGTCAAAAAGATTTTTAACATTTGTCCACAGCCAGCTGCATTTAATTGAGACACAGAACATCTAAGACTGTATACTGCTGTTTTGCGGGCAACTAAAAGCTCAGACACTTAGCTATCTTGCTACCGATGTTATTGCTGGGGAAATTGTTTAATGACAGTGATCATGAAATATGGTCAGTGATAGATGTACAGTTTAGAAATAAACACCAAACATACTTATCGCTATCTTATAATGTATGACAGCAACAGCATCAAAGGCACGTTTTTCCCTATTTTTAATCAGACTGATCTGAATCCGTATGCACATTAGAAACAGGCAACTCTACTTACTAAACTGATCTGTTTCGTTACAGGCTTCAAGCACTATACTTAAGTATATCATAATTCTTTCAACTAAACTGAATTATACGACAACCAAGAACACTAAACTAAGCAATTGCTTAGTGTCATAGTTATTGTTTCACTTGCAAAGACATGTTGCTCAAAGTAGGTAAATGGACATAATTAGGCCGATAAAACCAAAACACGAAATATAGGCCAGATGAACTTACCTAAGAAAAAAAGAAGGATACATATATACTGCTTTAAAGCAGTATTCAGTGTGAATTCATACTGAAGACAACAGGGAGTTGATCATAGAAACACAGTCTACAGTACAACAAACCTTTCTTCAGTAAAATCATGCACTGACAGTCTATCTGGAAACAATTAACTATGTGAATAAAATCACTATGACTTGAGATATCATCTCAGCGTGCAATGGACGTACAGTGTAACGCAGTCAGATGTGGCGAATAAAAATAAAAAACAAAGAAAAATTAACTACATAATCTAGTTATTTAATTAAAAATACATTATGAAATGACAAAATCTGTGGTTGCTTGAACGCACAAATGACAGTGTGCGATACATTAAGTTTACATGGTTGCGTTGCGGATAAGATCACCCGTCATTTTGTACTGTCCTAATGTATGTTACTCTTATTACCATATAAGAGGGTAATAGGGCCCTAACTCGTTTACGAAACATGTGCAAAGGTGAGCCTTGTTTTTAAAATCTAGATATTTAAAAAACTATGTTCCTGGAGTTCCTCAGATTACTTTTAGTGAGCAACAAAGAAGGTGAACTGAAACGATGATTTACTCAACCAGGTGGCTATATAACGAACTTTATTGATGAAGCTAGATCACTTCCAAAGACTAACCAAAATGAAGTTGGTTAATGCTTTGCAAATGATTATTGTGAGCATATCATTTTCACAACAGTTTGGTTGGGACTTTGTTAACATTATTTAGTTTAAGACGAAATATCCCATGAACACCAGTTCCATCATCATACTGAATTTATAT